ATTAATGATCACCCTGTGACAGTTGCTCACTGTGACTTCCCTGGGCAATACAAAGCCTTAAACTTGGAAAGCAAAATATACGACTGTTCCTTTATGTATTTCTCATAGATTAAACATTATTCTGTTTGCCGTGTGGTATTAATGTGCTGTTAAAATAATTTATTTTTGTTCTATAGCAACCAGAAGAATTGGATTTCTTTTGATTCGAACTGTTCATGGCCGTCTCTCCGAGTTCGAATTAACGACAGTCTAGTGTATAATAAATCATTCCTTGATTACTCAAAATTTTAAAATAACTTACCTCATTACCGAGTTTACAAGTCGTTCCTTCCACACATGGACAAGTGAATGCGTAAATCTTCTTTTCCTTATCAAATATGGTTGACAGACCGCATAAATTATCTGTAAAGAAGTTAATTGTTTAATTAAAGTAGTTATTACAGTATCTGAATACATGTACTGTATGTACTAACTGTTACCCGTGACTTCGCCCGCGCGAATTTTGCAAGCAAACCCCATTTATATTCAGTATTTCAACAACCATAGTAATTGTTATATAACACCTACCGCTGAGAATTGCCGAGAATTAAACGTACTCTTTTCAATTTGATTAATTTTCTGGAACGTTTGCAATCGTTCTATAATCGAACCGATATGCAATAACAAATACGAATTTAAAACGTTTCGAACATTTGATTAAAAAATTGAAATATATAAAAATATTTATAACGATATCTGAAATGTTATCAATTTAATACACCTAAGTACTCGATGAAGAATAAACGTAGTTGAAAATGAAAAATCGCATTTAAATAGTACAGTAGAAGCCATTCTTCCGGTTAAGTCTTAATCCTCCACTTTCCCATTATCTAATACAGTAGTTGAAGTTCAATTTGGACGTGTCGTATTAAATGTAGGACTGATACTGATGGTTTAAGATACCATCTAAAACTTTGATATTTATAATGAACAAATTAAACTCATTATTACATAATATTAATTAAATTTCTGCTAATTAAATTACATTTGTTAATACAGATATTTAATAAATGAAATAAATTTCATTAATAGTATTACAAAACGGAGAATATTTTCACACAACAATTTAGACAAATCGCAATGGCAGACTTTTTCATTAAACGTATGCAGAGATTTTTTAAAGGATTATCTCCGTTAAGACTGCAGAAAAAAGTGGTACATGTAAGAACATTTGGTTACAGAAGGATTACGAAACAAAATTTATTGGCTTTTCCATTTTTATACGGAAAAATTTGGGAAGGAATGCATGAAAAGAGCTTATTAGATTGTGGAAAAATGTTAACTGTGTTTTGTAAAGAATTTTAAATTGTTTCGGACCATTGTTTTATATCTTAAATTTGTTTTTAATTGTAAATGTCGGCTGTATTCATTGTTTGTAGCCTGAAAAGGGGATTATTTTTTTGTTCTATTGCAAAATGCATCGCTGCCATAACAAGTGTGATTAAAATGTTTTGAACAAATTGTTCTTTCTCTCCTGATTAAAACGGATTACATAAGACGAAAGTTATTAGTCTTAGCGGAGATAATCGTTTGAAAATTTTCCGATTACGTAGAATATTTTATACATTTACGCACATAATATTTGTTTTGAGTAAACTAGATAAAAGGCAACTTATATGTTAATTCTTGATTGTTCACGAAATTTAAATTTATGTTATTTTGGATGAAAATGTGTTAAATTTTTATGATGTAAAAAATAAAGCAAATACTGTTTATAAAGGCCACTCACTCAACAACAACTATATTTTCATGGACGTTTTTTAAAATGCATACGAAATTACTGTCAAAGTAAAGAATATTACGGCCGCTATGGTTAGGATTGCCAAAAGTTCAAACGAAAACTCGAGACATATTTTTTATTATTTATTATTATGGTACATATTTCAGCTAACTTAATTTTTTTGTTAAAAAATCCAATTCCTTATTGTGAATGTACCCGAATCCAATGGCACGTAATTAAATGTAATGGTTGGTAAATCAAAATGGTGGTTACCAGCTCTGAATATCTAAGTAATATACGATTTAATAAATGTGCTAGTTTTTTAAAGAGAGGATTTTATATTATAAAAGCTGTTTTTTGTATAAAAATTGGCACAATAAAATAAGCTGTATAACAATTAAGTAGAAAAAAATCATTTTTTTAAAAATATATAAATAATATTCGGTATCTTCATAAGTAACATGTTATAATTAAGACGACTTTGTCTCTTGAGTACATTTCTAGTGACCAATTATAAATAACGCCTTGCTAATGCCATTATAACTTCTTTAAATATGTTACAAATATTCAAAATCTAAAACATAAAAAATTTATTATAGCATCTTATAATAAATTTTATAAGATTGCTTTTACAGTAACATAAGTTACTTTTACGTAACAAGGTTTTATTTCGATTGTATTATACTCTAAAAATTTCGCTACAAAATTATACAGCTATTCATTTAATATTTCAAATATTCGTAAATACCTTTAACATCAATTAAATTTACATTGAAACATAAAATAAGATTTTAAAGAATTTACCTTGTAACCAATGAAACTTTAAAAATTTCTAAACTTGTTAAGTTATAACAATGGAAAAATTATATCTGAGACAGTTATTAATGTCATTAAATTCTTATGACGTCTAATAAAATAATTATGCTATTAATAAAATTTTCAATTTTAATAATAAAGTAATTAAATTTGATTAAAATAATTAAGTTTGATTAGATAACACTAAATTGAGTTTATAAGTGCTTAATGATGTTTACATAATTTTCAGAGTATGATGATATTTAACTTATGGTCGCAAGTTAAGATACTTCTGTACGATTTTCTGGTTTTACTGTTATTTTCTCTTCTTTTCTGCACTTGAGAACAATATCACTTAACTGAAAACATAATATAAAGTGAAGTTCTATTAAAACACTGACAATATTCAATATGTAAGAAAAATTAATACAGTAGACTCTAGTTAATTCGAATGTCCTGTTAATTCGAACTGGACGCTAGTCCCCGTCTTATTCCTATTTAAATCAATGTAAAATTCTTTCGGTAATTAGAACACGATTGTCCGTTCTCCTGTTTATTCGAATCAAGNAATCATTTTTTTTTAAATATGTAAATAAAATTCGGTATCTTCATAAGTTGCATGTTAGTAATGAAATATTTGAATTTTAAGTTTTCATTGATCTCATCAGTTTACATTACATTACATTATATTACATTAAAAGAGTAGAGAGGTTGTCTGTATATGCACAGACTTTACCTCTAAGAAATTAGAAGTGTTGAAATTGAAATTAGAAGAGGAAGTGATAGTAAGTAGGGAGGGAAAGAAAATAGGAAAAGATTGAAGGGAAGTGTCGGATCATTAAGCGCCTGCATCAGAATTGTTGAACAAGTAAAATACAGTGACAAGACAAAATATGTTCAGTAAACAGTGTAAAAACAAACATGACAAGTTTGCGCGTGCGAGTGAATGTGTACAGCAAACGGGGGGGAACAGATACAAAGTTTCAACAATTACAAAGTATGCTATAAATTGGGTTGACAAAGAGATAAAACATTATAAAATTTAGCATTAATAACACTGAAGAATCTAGTAGATATAAACCAATGGGTCTAATTTGCATATGCCAGTACAGTCAAATCGCGGGTTGAACAAATTGGGCGAGTAGCCGTCCTACCTTAAATGATATCAGCCAGTCTATTATTGGTCCAGTTTATATTTTTAGACTCTTTATGTCTTGAAGGCAGTAAGACGGTCTTTTTTCAGATCCGTCGTTGTTTTACTGGAACACCACCCCAACGAGTGTTGCTCGTTACAGTTTTCCAAAGTTGCTGCCTTAAGGCTTCAACCAGCAACTTTGGAAGCATGAGCATCACTCCAGTTATTCAATGGTTCTATGCAAATAAAATATACTGTACAAAGAAAATATCTATTGCTTTGATTATAAAGCGAATAAATGTTAAGACGGTAACATCAATTCGAGTAACACATATTCCGCTTAAAATTTATTAACCACAAAAAATTTGTTTGTTGAAAAATAGCATTATATTATGCTGTTATAATTAAAACGACTTTGTGGCTTGAGTACATTTCTAGTGACCGATTATAAATAACGCCTTGCTAATACCATTATAACTTCTTTAAATATGTTACAAATATTCAAAATCTAAAACATAAAATAAATTATTATTGCATTAATTGAGAACAGAAGTTGCTTTTACGTAACAAGGTTTTATTTCGATTGTATTATACTCTAAAAATTTCGCTACAAAATTATACAGCTATTCATTTAATATTTCAAATATTCGTAAATACCTTTAACATCAATTAAATTTACATTGAAACATAAAATAAGATTTTAAAGAATTTACCTTGTAACCAATGAAACTTTAAAAATTTCTAAACTTGTTAAGTTATAACAATGGAAAAATTATATCTGAGACAGTTATTAATGTCATTAAATTCTTATGACGTCTAATAAAATAATTATGCTATTAATAAAATTTTCAATTTTAATAATAAAGTAATTAAATTTGATTAAAATAATTAAGTTTGATTAGATAACACTAAATTGAGTTTATAAGTGCTTAATGATGTTTACATAATTTTCAGAGTATGATGATATTTAACTTATGGTCGCAAGTTAAGATACTTCTGTACGATTTTCTGGTTTTACTGTTATTTTCTCTTCTTTTCTGCACTTGAGAACAATATCACTTAACTGAAAACATAATATAAAGTGAAGTTCTATTAAAACACTGACAATATTCAATATGTAAGAAAAATTAATACAGTAGACTCTAGTTAATTCGAATGTCCTGTTAATTCGAACTGGACGCTAGTCCCCGTCTTATTCCTATTTAAATCAATGTAAAATTCTTTCGGTAATTAGAACACGATTGTCCGTTCTCCTGTTTTTTCGAATCAAGAGAGCATGTTAGATTGTTAGTAGATTAACATCTTGTTCCCATTTTTTATTTAAGGAGCGAATTTGTTTTATTAATGAATTAATTTTAAAAAATTAAATTTAAAAAAACATTTAAAATCAGTTTGAGTACCATTAGGACGATTAATGATCACCCTGTGACAGTTGTTCACCGTGGCTTTCCTGGACAATAAAGAGCCTTAAACTTGTAAAGTAAAATATACTACTGTTCCTTTGTGTATTTCTCATAGATTAAACATTATTCTGCTTGACTTTTTTATTAATGTGTTGTTAAAATCATTTATTTTTGTTCTATAGTAACCAGAAGAAATTGACTCCTTTTAATTCGAATTGTTTATGGCCTTCTTATCTGAGTTCGAATTAAGGACAGTCTAGTGTATAATCAATCATTCCTGATTACTCAAAATTTTAAAATAACTTACCTTATTACCGAGTTTACAAGTCGTTCCTTCCACACATGGACAAGCATATGCGTAAATCTGTTTCTCCTTATTAAATATGGTTGACAGACCGCATAAATTATCTGAAAAGTAAATTGTTTAATTAAAGTAGTTATTATCTAAATACATGTATATATGTATACTTATATTCCATATAGACATGGAATAATATGAAGTACTTCTTTTAAAACGCGTCTTCTCTTTTGCAAAATTTACAATATTCAAATTGAAATTTGGATTCATTAATGGTTTCAATTTGCATTTCTGTTTTCATTTCTAGCTTCAAAGCGGCTTTTGTCCAAACTAATTTCTTTAATTTTTCTGTAATGTTTGGTAAGATAATGAAAATGATCATGAAAGCAAACTTTTGCCGATTTGAAGCATTACAATACCAAATATTTATGCGTTTAACAAGCTTATTAGACAAATTTTTTTTTGATTTGCCGAAAAACTTGAAATGTGCACAAGAGAGGTTTTGAGATTAACATTATACATGTAAGTATATGAAAAAATTACTTTCTTTGGGCCGTGGCAAACAACCTTTTATAATTCCTAAACCAACAGGAGTAACACAGCATTCATCTTGTTTGCATTCATTACCAGATTTGCAGGAATATTATGGTGCATATTTCAGCTAACTTAATTTTTTGTTAAAATATCCAACTCCTTATTGTGGATGTATCCGAATCCAAGAGCACATAATTAAATGTAATGGTTGGTAAACCAAAATGGTGATTACCAGCTCTGAGTATCTAAGTAATATACGATTTAACTAATTTGCTAGGTATTTTAAAGAGAAAATTTTAAATTATAAAAACTATTATTAGTATAAAAATTGGCACAGGAAAATAAGTTGTGTAACAATTAAGTAGTAAAAAATCATTTTTTTTTAAATATGTAAATAAAATTCGGTATCTTCATAAGTTGCATGTTAGTAATGAAATATTTGAATTTTAAGTTTTCATTGATCTCATCAGTTTACATTACATTACATTATATTACATTAAAAGAGTAGAGAGGTTGTCTGTATATGCACAGACTTTACCTCTAAGAAATTAGAAGTGTTGAAATTGAAATTAGAAGANAAGAAATTTAAAATCCATAAAATAATATGTTTATATCGTCTCACTATAAGATTTCACAACATACAACTTCGTTTTATTAAAACTCAAAATACAGAGTTGTTCAGAAAGCTGTTTTCTACTTCGACATTTTGTTTCAACTTAATTTTTGGTCTAAAATTTAAATTTAATTTACATAAAACAATAATAAAAAATACATTGTAGCAAAATTGATTTGTTAAAATCTTTGTAATTGTATGATTCAAGAAATATGTAAAACAGATAAAAGTCATACGCTGAGGTCAATCCATTATCATATTAATACCATATTTCTACGTTATTCAATTCAGTAGTTGAAAGTTTAATATGGGCTGGCGAAGTATTATGCCTAGGACCAACGCTGCCGCCTGCTTCTGCTGGAACTATGCTGACGGTTCCTTCGTTTTACCCTAGATTATACTAGATTGAGAAAACTCTCCGAGCTCGAGCTCGAGCCGGATAAAAAAAATAAGACAAACGATTCCCACGTGACAAGTGACGCCTTTCCCACGACAATTGTATAAAAGAGCGAAATACCGAAAACTCAGGGCGAGCACTTGGAAGTTATACAGTAAAACCTGTCTATGGCGACCACCCACGGTTCCTTCAAAAAGTGGTCTTTTAGACAGGTGATCGTTTAATACAGGTAACTTATTATGTAAATTGAAAATTCCGTGCCAGAAATTTTTGCCCGTTTTGACAGGTGCCCGTCCAATGCAGGTGGTCGCCTAAGCAGTTTTCACTGTATATGGTAGGTGTTCCATTTTAGGCTTCACCGACTTCGACAAAGAAGATATCAGGAACTTCCACATAGAACTCAATCGCAGCATGTAGCTCAGCATTATCACCTAGAGGTAATTATTTTAGAACATTTCTCTCTCTCTCTACGAACATAGGCCTAACGGTTAGATTCAACCTTTGGAGAAAGGTTAGACTGTGTAATCGCCCCCTAAGCGTACTTATCTTATCCGCATTTAGACATAGATGTATCCAACCTATTGTAACCTCTTGTATTTACTAGTTAGTTAAATAATAAATGTTTGATTTGTTAAGTTAACCTGTCAACCTGTCTTATTCGGAAAACGGACACCTATCGGCTTACCCAACGCACTCCCCACTCATTAATTTGCCCTCCTATCAAGTTTAGCCATCCGTCGACTCCGAGGTCGGGTTTTAACAACCTGTGCCGATTAAGTGCTTAATAGGGCACCCCTATAGCCCCCGTGTTATCTCACACATTGATATGTTTCTATGCAAATAGAATATACCGTACAAAGAATATCTGTTGCTTTGATTAAAACGTGACTAAATCCAGGAACAGTAAGATCGATTCGAGTAACAAATATTCACGTTTAAAATTTATTATACACGAAAACTTGTTTATGAAAAAATAGCATTATGTAGTGGCTAGGGTTTCTCATTTCCCGATCTTTTGCTTGTCCTAGGATTCCAGGATAAAAGTGAAACGTTTCCCGGGATAGAATTAATTATTTTTAATATATACAAAATAACTTGACATTAAATGATAAACAGTAATTATTTTTCGTTTTTTACAGTAATTTAATACGTTCTGCATCCCCCAAAATCATATTAATAATGCTGTATAACAGCGCTGTCCAACTTATCATAGCCCGCGGGCCATATTTTCTTCACCAAACATTTCGGGGGTCAAGAAGGTTGGTGATGGCTAAGTGGTCGGCCGGGAATCACGCCACATGACATTTGCATAGTGCTACGGTCTGTAAGCACTAATTGGTCAGCGAGTCCGATGTTGACACTATAAAAAGGCGACAGTTCGACACACCGGATATACGTCACTCTCGTCTAAGTTCGACTTGGGAATTTTTTTGTTCAATAATAAATGTGAATTTTTCTTCCTGGAAAAAATAAGACCTAGCGCATTTTTCAGAGCAAAAATTAATATAAGACACTGTCTTATTTTCGGGTAAACACGGTAGTAAAATAATTTTAATAATAATAATTTAGTAACATAAATTTATTCATATTAAAATGTACTCGCGGGCCGTAAAAATTATTTGGCGGGCCGTATATGGCCCGCGGGCCGCCAGTTGGACAGCGCTGCTGTATAAGATATATATTAAAAATTATCTTTGAATTACATAGAAATTTTCACAAATAGAAAAAATTCAGTAAAGTTTGCTGGAAACTGCATACAACAACAACAACAAAATGCTTTGAATTGACTTGAAAATTAAAAAAAAAAACTTAGATCAAACTTCTAACTTAAAAGGTAATTTTCGTTTTTTAAATAAAATATAATACAAAATATTATTGTAAATTTTTATTATAAGATTTTAAAAAGCAAAGATGGTCAATACGCTGATCACTTAATCTGGTTCTTATTTAGTAATGAAATGTCCTGCTACCTAGAATTCCCTTTTCTATTCAATTGATGTGAGTGGAATTAAGCTTAGTTCACACTGAACGCGATTCGCTAGCGAAAGCGAAAAACAGAGCGAATAACACGTCAGACACGACGTCTTTTCCGGCGAATTTTACCATTTCGCGAATCGCTTCGAAGTTCGGAACTGTTGAGCTTTTTCGCTAGCGAAAAAATTTCGCACCAATCGTATTCCCCTAGTTGTCACGTGGTTCTTGTTGTTTCGAGTTACCATACCTTACCATTGTCTTTCCCAAAATATTTATGGCCCGGGAGTGGGGACAAAACACGCTTGATTTCAATGTTGAAGTCAGATCTCTCACTTCGTGATAAAGTTTCCGGTGGCATCAAAACGTAAAGAAATCAATAAATGCAATAGAGGTGATATAGGATGGTTTCTTCTTCTTTTATATGATGGCAAGAGCTGCTTGATTTTGTCACATATATGTTGTACAGTACAACAATTCTTTTAAAAAACTTATATACCTATAAGGTTTAGATCGGCGTCGAGTGACAACGTTAGGTATATTTAAAATGATTATAACGCAATTAATTAATAAATAATTTAATTTTGGAAGCTTACTAAAAGCTAGTGGTGCAAGTATCAAATTCACTTCTACAATAAAACAGTTATATGAAAATTACACCATTAGAATCAAACAAGGAAATTCGATATCTCCACCTCTAAATCTTTCACGTGGTGTACTTCAAGGAGATCCTCTGTCACCATATCTGTTTAATTTTTATCTAAGGGACATTGATCAACTTTTTAATTATTCCTCAG